TTATGAAGTTTTCCAGTGAAAATCAGAGACACGATATAAAATTGTGGCTAGATATAAGCAAGATCAGAGGGAGAAAAATCAAAACAGATTTCATCACAATTGGAGGCTAACTCAAGTCTGATGTAAGATGTCTGGAGGAGGATCTAGCGGGCACGCCAGTGGGTAAGAGGGGCTTAATGTCTCTTGTTATCACTACTGCACAAGATGGCTTTTTATCGTACAACTTTCAAGGTTGGAGCAGCTAGTGATTGGTAAACAACTGATACTACACTGACCACAGGTCACTTATAAATGTACTATCACTTTTAAATATACTGGTCATTTAGTAACTTTGCTTCACTAAATTATTCCACTATCTTCCTATATTGTATGTACAATACTTCACTTATTCAGGGACATACAAATCAGACTCTTATTATCTAAAGAGAAACTTCAATCACTTCAAAACTAGAAAAATCACTCCACAGCTATTCCTGAAGTCATCTGAAGTCAAGTTACTATAATGCATCAAGGATGTATTACACGACTAAAGAACCTGCGTGTCTTCATTGCTAAATGAAACCCGATGCGTCCCATTATATTAAAATGTTAGGAAGTCCAAAGATTCGTAAAAGAACTAGTGTTTCCCACAGGACCCTCAACTAATAACAAGTAAATTCTAGCCTCCCTGGAATGCCCTACTCCTTCCTGTGAGCTTTTCAATGGAGGACAACTTTTGAGTTGCTTCTCTTCATTTCCCACTGGAAACTTTTCTTTCAAGAACTGAGAAAAAAAGAAAATACAAACACGGATTGCATTGTGAGGATGTCACCCCCAGACTGCATCTGGCATTACTGGGAATGCAGCCAGAAATAAAATGTGCTGCATACTGCTGGAAACTTACCACTGAACATCTTTCTTATATTCAGATGATCTATTATCAGAAAGAAGATATTCTTAAAAAATGAAGAAAGGATGAGGAAGGAAAACCAACCAGAAAGCTGAGATTGAGCTTACAAAGTCATACCACAGAATTACTGACAACAAGGTCAACTTAGAGAGAAAAACCGGGTGTGATTCACATGGAATCAGGTGTTCGAATTCACTTAAAGCAAGACAGGTATTTTTCTACATGGCAACTATTTGTTATTGAAGGTCCACTTTCTACAATTCTGTGGTCATGCATATATGATAAAATTTTGGAGGAAAAAAGCAAACTTGGGAAAATCCCTTATTTATTAAGCACTACAGGGGAATGCCAGTGGATTGGAATGCTCTCATGGTAATGATTAATGCTGCCGTTAGACCAAACTGCATGTTGCCAAAAGTTGCCTGGCAACTACGTGAAGGCAAAAGTTAAAGTTGTGTTCATTTTTCATTCCTCAAAAGCTAAAAGTGGACAAGAGATATTTTCAGTTTGTTACATTTGTTTAATTACACATTCATTTATTTGTAAACCAGAATGACTGAAAGATGAAGACAGAAAGAGATCTGTCATCTGCTATTTTACTCTCCAAATGCCTGCAACAGTTGGGTTTGAGTTAAGCCAACTCAAGGCCAGGAGCCACAGAGGCTAACCTTGTCTTTTGTGGATCCGGGCCTTCCCAGGAACAAACCAGCGCAGCCAGCACTGCAACAGGTGCTCCCATATCGGCGGGGTGGGGCCTGTTACACAGTGGCCTAACCTGTTCCACAACATCACCAATCCCACACTCATGTTTTTAACAAAGTCAAATGTGCTAAAATATTCCTTTTAAGACAGCTTTTTTTTTTCTTTTCATAGAAGTTGAGTCAGGCAGACTGACTCAGTCATACATTTGAGAATATAAGGTTAGTTTTTTGACTGCATACATTTAGGTGAGGATGGAGGCTCAGGTACCTGATAGGAAAACACAAAGAGATGCCACATGGACCACTATGCCATCAAGTGCCTTCTCTTCCCTGTATCACACCGTTCTCTCAATCAACTCTTGAGAATTCACAGTGTTTTCTTTTCCAGCATGATTGTTTTCAACTGGAATTTAGATGTACATCTCCCCTTAGCAAAAACAAACATACAGTCACTCAATTCACTTCTGGCGCCACCTACTTCTACAAATCTTTCATCTAAAACAAAAATCCTGCAAGAACAACCCCTATACGGGGTTATTCTCTTGCCAATTCCCATACTCTATTTTCCACAGGTGCTTCTATTGAAACTGTATTCCCCAAGTTCACTGATGCTCCCATAATCCCGAATGCCAAAGTCATTCCAAAGTTTCGGTTTTTCCTGAGTCTGAGGAGTGAATGAGCTTGTTGAAATAACTTGATAGCAAGCACATATACGTGTACACACACACACACACACACACCCCAGATGGATATTTTCCTTCTGGTGGCTGGCTTTTTCCATAAATACTCTACAAAAATTTGAGCAGGGCTTGGCAGAAGCCAAGAGGCAGAAACTCAATTTGGGCCTCCCATGCAGGTGACAAAGACCATGTTACTTGCATCATAATGCGCCACCTCCCAGGGTGCAAGCACTGTATGTGTGCCTATGAACACTTGGGAAGAGAGATGCTGCCATGTCGGTTTCCTTCAAAGTCAGAACTTGCCCATTGCTATAAACGTAGAAGTACTGAAAGAGATGTGAGTGAAACTTTGCAGTAGCAGTAAAGTATTAAGGGATTATGTGCAAATGAATTTCCCTTTGAGTGAAAGACAACACATGTAATCCAAGGAAATGATAGTAAGGTAAGAAGGTTCCATGGTCAAAAGCAGTACTTTTCCCTGTAGTGGGGAAGTACCATTAGATAAGAAATCATTACATAATGCTCTATTTATGATGATATTCACCCAAATAATTTTTTTTTTCAATTTGAGAGGCAATGACACAGACCGACAGAGTGTTCATCTGGTTCATGCCTCACACGTTCAGAAAAGCCAAGGCGAGGCCAGGCTGATGCCAGGAGCCAGCAACGCAATCCAGATGGCAGTAAACCAAGAAATGGAGCCATTACTCCCTGTCTCCCAGCATCTGAATAAGCAGGAAGCTGGACTTGAGCCCAGGAACTCCATGATATGGGATGTGGGTATCTTAACTAGTGAACCAACCACCTACCCCTAATGAAAAATTTTCATATCATATTTAAAGTTGTTTTATTTTAAATAGGTTTTATTCTTTTTATCTTGACAGTTTTACTTGAGATGAAGAATCAAAATGTGACACAGTATACTACTTTTATGGTAGTTATTCTGTCACTTAAAAGATCCAGGAAAGCACTCCATGCACACGTTATTTCATGTAAAAATTTTCGACATCTTTTGTTTTCTAGAACCACCTCAAACTTCGACTTTGCAGTCAAGATATTGATTTGTAAAGATATTTTGTGGGTGCTTATATGGAATTTGAAGTTTTCTAGCTATACATAAAAATTTGTAAATTTTACAATACTAATCTTTGGCATTTAAACTTAATATAAGCAATTGTACTTCTAGAAGACTTTTTTAAAAAATTATATTAACAAAATATTCAATCCTAACTTGGCAAAGGCTATTAAAATAAGAAAAATACAAAAATAATAAAATTACATAAGAAAGACATCTCCAGAAGTTCACGAAAATGTGTTATAAGACTATGCAATTTTTTTTGTTAACCAAGTATCTTTTAATTCAATTCTTCCATGAACATTTTGAAATCACTATTCTGAAGTTCATCTCATGGTGGTGTGGTAAAAAAAAAATATTTGAATTTACAATACTGTGCCATTTTCCCAATGACTTAAATTAACACAGTGATCTACACCAACTAAAAAACTTCTGAATTTATTTACTTATTTCTTGGTAAGGCAGATTTACAGAGATGGAGATTCAGTGAGAAAGATCTTCCATCAATGCTTTACTCCCCAAATGGCCACAACAGTCAGAGTCGAGCCGATCCAAAGCCAGAAATTCTTACTTATACATGGGTACAGGGTCCCAAGGCTTTGGCCCATCCTCCACTGCTTTCCCAAGTCACAAGGGGGGACGTGGATGAGAAGTGCAGCAGCTGGGACATAGGCCAGCACTCATTAGGGATACTTGCACTTCCAAGAGGGAGGATTAGCCAACTGAGCCATCATGCTGGGTCCCTTCCATACGAATTTAAAGTAAGAAGACATAAGGTTCATAGAATACTTGGGGAAACCTTGTACATCAAAATGAAGATTCAGTATAGTACAGTATTGTACATTCAACTTCTTTTTACCGTATTTTCAGTGAGAATTATAAAGCACAAGCAAAAAGAGGTAACAATTTCTATGCTCTTATTACTTGGCTTGTTCACAGTCAGGTAAACACAGGGTGCCACAAAATGAACTACTTTTATTTTTCTTCACAAAATACCCCAGGAGGACAGATGATTTCCTTCGTGTAAAACTCAGCCTTTTTTTTTTTTTTTTGAGAGGCAGAGCAATTATGGAAGTAAAACAAACCCACATTGTCTAATTAGGTCATTAAAAAGCATAAATGCGTCATGGAAGCTTTTCTTGTTGCCTAAGACATAAAGTAAAACAATGAAAACAGTCTGGTAATATAGAAAGGTTTAGGATTTGTTTCTTTTCAAAAATAATGGGTCCTTTCATGTTTCTACTTCCCTTAGATGAAGACAGCTAATTTAGAGAGAAAATCTTCTAATTAGTTCAGTTTCCTCTGATTATATTTCAAAATACTTAACCCAAAACAGGAAGATAGAAGAAGAAAATACAAGGGAAATTATCAAAGGAAGTGAGGAAAATGAAGAGTGTGGGTTGCTGCTCAGACAAGATGACCATAAAATCTACATTCAGATCAACACAGACAATCTGGGCATCTTCGGAGGAATATTCAGTGCTTGCCCTTGGGGTTTGAATCCCAGACTTTAATTACAGCTAACTTAAATAAAAACAAATGGCCTGATTATTTTGCCTCTTCCTTTCCCTACTTCTATTTGTCGAATTTCAGAAAACTCATGGCTCTTAAGGTTAAGAAACAAAATGTGACAGAGGAAATGAAAAGACGCTTACCTGGGGCCCCCTTAGTCCTCGCTTGTGGTCCCATTCCGAATGTCCCATGAGCTGTAAAAAAGATGACAACAATGGTAAATTCGGTGACTTTTTTGCATGACAAATATTTGTACACTTTATTAAGAATAACTAGTTTTCTGAATCTGTGTGCTTTTAGTAACATGCTGGACAGTCAGCTACAATTTGAACCATAAGCTGTTTGGAAAGCATTTTACTACTGCCCTGCGACAGAGGGGTCTGCTTAAGAATAGCATTCCTGCCTTCGTCAGGAATATCCCAGAATGCCTGCACGCTGTTTAGTCCCACTTGTATATGATTATTCTTCCCATTTATTAGGAAAATATGCCAAGTAATCCACATGACTTGTTTAATCCATTCACACACATGATATAAACCCAAAGGCTGAAATATTTAAATAATTTTTAACATTCCTTGATAATATCACAAACTTACGAGCATTTTTAAAAATAAACCTATCTAATGTAAAATGTACCTGACCAAGTAAAAAATACAGACTACTCATAGTGAACTGTGGAACATCACCAAGTTACCACCAGAGCTGCCCTGCCCCTCAGCTACATTGCACATAGAGGATGTTTATTTATTTTCAATAAATAAGGAAATAAGAGATGGTATCTGAATGTGATTCCATCCACCTCTTCAGTACACTGATCCATGCCGAGTACAAAGACCATATAATCAACGTCCATGCAGACACAAGAGGGCCCACAATTATACCGATGTGCTTTAGTTTTTCTGTAACAGCTACTTCTTTGATTTCACAACAAACTTCGAAATAGTAAGGACTAAAACCACTCCCTTTGAACGTTAATGAGAAATGCTGATAATTGCATACAGAATGTCATAAACCTTTCCTGCAGCCCATACAAGACTACTGCTTATGAAGATGGACTTCCGGCCCTGGCGCCACAGCCTAGTGCATAAAGTCCTCACTTTGCATTTGCTGGGATCCCACATGGGCACCGGTTCTAGTCCCAGCTGCTCTACTTCCCATACACCTTCCTGCCTGTGACCTGGCAAAGCAGTAAAGTATGATCCAAAACCTTGGTGCACCCAAATTAGCTGCATACCACTGCTGCGTGTGTCCAAAATAATATAAAATGTTACTGAAATCTACATAGTATGTGAAATAAAGCAATTAGCATTGTAACTGATAAATGAGACACTACAATATTCTCTGGTCAATTAAAAAGGCATCAAAGACAATAAACAGGACTTTATTTTCTTTATTTCATGTGAGGAAATCATACAAAAGCTTAACCACTACAATTTTAATTTTAATTAAAGTAATCTGGGGCAAAATGTAGTTTTCATTAATTCAGCAATGCACAGATGGTGTCTATTATTGTACCCGCTGTAATTTTTTTCTGAACACAGAGAAAGCAACAGTGACGGTGCCGAGACTGGGGCCGATGTTAGGGAGGCTTTCAAGTGATCCGGGACCCTGGGCACCTGCTGGGGCTGGAAGAGGAAAATGGGAGCTGGAGAGTGAGGACGATCTCAGGTCATAGGACAGACTGTCCAAACACCGCTACCTGTTTGCATACAATCCGTTATACTGTCATTCAGACTGTGGACCAAAGGCAAAAATCAAAAGAACGTTTTCAGTATTCTGAGAACCCATTCACAATGTGATGTATTGACTCGTTTATTGTTGCCGATGACTCAAAATTAAGTTTCCAGTCACTGGTAATGAAATGTTTTCCAAAGTACTACTACATAGAACTTTCTTGATCCCCACTGTCACGACTATCGATAACAGCCAACAGAAAGAATGTCCAGCCTGGCGCAGTAGCCTAATGGCTAAATCTTCGCCTTGCAACCGCCAGGATCCCAAGTGGGTGCTAGTCTGTGCCCCAGCTGTTCCACTTCCCTTCCAGCTCCCAGCTAGTGGTCTGGGAAAGCAGTAGAGGATGACTCAAAGCCCCCACGTAGAAGACCCAGAAGAAGCTCCTGGCTCCAATCAGTTCAGCTCTGGCTGCTGGGGCCACTTGGGGAGGGAATCAGTGAATGGAAAAGCTTTCTATCTCTCCTCTCAGTAAATCTGTGTTTCCAGTAAAAAAAAAAAATCCTTAAAAAAAAGTCAGTTACTACAAACAGGAAACACGACATACACGCAATGAAATGTCTTTCAGAAGTGGAAAACTGATTCTTACATTTTTATCAAGGAGAAGCAGATAGGATTAATGGTAAGTTGCAGGTGAGGTAAGCAGTGATTTGACATTGTTGCGGGAGTAGACAGAAAATAAGTCACGGACAATGTAAAATAGAAGGGAAACTGATGACTTTTTCTTCCTAACTTTGTTACATGTGAATTAGACTTCCAAAATAAATCAAGAACAGCAAATCGCCTAACAATTCTAGGAAAAAGAAAGTCTATGAAGATATACTGTCTTAGTAAAAGAAATGCTGATGATTTTATGCTTCGTTATTTAAGATGGCTGGGAATACAAAACAGCAGAAGAATCAGACTGCAAAATGATTTTTAAAACCATTGTGTAAGAGGCTAAAATACATTCTAGGAGTCAGCATTGAGTTACAAATTAAGCCAATGAAGTGCTGGTTTGAGTCCCAGCTGCTCTCTAGTTCTGATCCAGGGTTCGGCTAATGCTCCTGGGAAGGCAGCAGAAGATGGCTCTAGCACCTGAACCCCTGACAGTCCTGTGGGAGACAAGGATGGGATTCCTGGAAGATGGCTTCAGCCTGGCCTTGAGCTGGGTATTGTAAGCTTCAGGGAAGTGAATCAGCAGATAGGAGATCTCTGTCTCTCCTCTCTGTCTCACCATGGCCTTCAGATACATGAATATATTCTACTCGATGAAAGTATATGGTTATTTAACACAGGGGGGAAAAAAAAGACTATCATCTCTCTCTGCATCTAAAAAAAAAAAAAATCCCTCTTGGCTACTGGACTGTGATTATCCCTCTGAGTAATGACATTTTCACAAGCATCTTACCAGAAGATCTGGGGATACAGAGGTCACCAAGGTTAGGCCTACACATGGCAAACAAAATCTTTCCACTGATGAGAGACTTCTATTTAAAAAGGGACTACTGCCTCCTTTCTCAGCTCCCATCCACCAAGACTCACAGACATACAAAGAGTTCCCCCTTCTGGTATTCCGCCCCCAGCAAACAAATGTCACTTCCTTGACAAGACTCAGAATATGTTATAGACAACATTTTGAAAATCCAAGCTTCTTGACGCTGTCATTTTCACCCTTTTGGAATAAATTCTTCCCTCTTCCAGTTTTAATAATAAGTTTCTACATCTCAGTCTTCAGCTAAGATTATGCTGCAGAGGACTGAGTTCCAAGGAAAACAGAACTGCTGCCAAGGGCAGAATTTAAAAAGTTCACAGGAGAAGCACCGGAGAAGCCAGCCTGGAAACAGGAGTTTCATCCAAGAAGAGATTATTTTTAATAATAGCGTGAGAAATGAGGAGAACTGAAAGGACTGTTCTGTAGGGACATGGTTTTCCTTTAATATTTATAGACATTCCCTGTGATATTTTCTCCTGTTTGCATTCTTCTCTGAAAATTAGGGGAGGGCCTTTGGTATAGTGCTTAAGAAAATGCTGCTCTGGACGCCCACAGAGAAGTGTGTGAGTCTGAATTCTGGATGTGCTCCTCATTCCAGCTTCCTGGGACACAGCAGGTGCCAGGTCACTCAAGTAGCTGGGACTCCCAGCTCACTCCCAGAGGACATCTGCATGGGATTCCCAGCTCCTGTCTTCAGCCTGGCCTGTTCCTATGTGTAAGGCACACTTTGAGAGTGAATCAGTGCGTGGGAGAGCTCTTTCTGACTCTGCCTTTAAGACTGGTAATAAATAATGATTATAAATAAGAACCCTTTTAGGGAATTCTTGGGAGAAAAGAAAATCACCCACAGCAATTGATGAAGGAATGAGAAGTGCACTAACCATGACCAGTGGCCAATAAAAAGGGATTCTTTGTACATACTTCAGGGAGGTAAAAAGATTTGATACATGAATAAAAAGGTGAAGACAGGAACAGAAACAATTTGCATCTTTACATCACTCTCAAGAAATTACATTTTATTTACTGAATATAAAAACTACACATATAAGGATACAAAAGTCACAATTATTTGTTCATTTATTAAGTAGGTACATGTTTACGTATTTCATGCCAGGAACTGTTCTGTGCGCAACTCAGTCGAACAAGAGTCATCTCTGTTCCCCTGGCTCATCACAGGGAAGTAACATAGGAGAGAAATACATGAACATAAAACATACAGCGACGATAACACTAAAAAGCAGCTGACGGTACCACAATAGGCCCGAGAATGAGTGCTTGTGGCTGTAGGGCCTGGGAGCACAGCTAAGCTTATAATAGGAGATATAATAACAAAACGTTTTTATCAGGTAACAGTATGAAGAGATCCATACCCACCTAGCCTTTCTGCGCAAGACCTCTTGAACCAGAATGAGAATGGGTCAGTGAAGCAGCAACAAATTATTTCAAGCTACACCTTAAAAAGTGGCAAAGTATGTACAATCACTTTCACGTGTCAATACAAAATTAGTCCAGAAGTTAATTCGCTCTATAATCAAAAATCACAAGGAATATTCTCTAGAGAAATAAAATTCATCAGGGGTTCTCCTTTCTCTGAATTCCTATGTCTGTTCAATGTGAGACTTGAGCAGAACTTCAGCCACAATCCACCAAGGCAATTGTAGGTTAGCACCAACATGCAGCACAATTTGACTGGACCTGTGCATATGTGTTTCATTTTCCAAGAGTCATAAAACACCAACGGGCAGGGGGCGGGTGATGGGTTTTAACTACACATTTCATGGAACAGGCACGGAGCTTTCAATTTGATAAGCAGATTTAAAGCTCTGCAATTTGCCAAGTTGCTTTAGATTCTTCCTTGGCTTGTGCTTTCCTGCAAGCTCTTAGATGCTGAACATGTCCCGAGAATCCCACAGGAGAGAATGGACCTGGACGGCTTGCTGCATACAGATTCTACCAAAAGGCAGAGCCTTGCAGGGACAAGATCTGCAA